TGATTGCTACTTGAACAAGTATTAATAGTGTGAATATTATTAGGTGTTACTACTAGTGCTAGTTTGAATATAACGGGCATTTTGGAAGTGATAATTTTTTTTTCACTTAGCAAAAGTGACAAGCAAAGCTGTCCAACATCACAAAATGATACATATATGGATGATACCAATGATGTTAATGCTTAAATGTTAAATACTTATATATGCTCACACATACATATATATACACACACATGTATACATATACATATTTATATATGCTCACTGGACTATTATTTCAATTTTTTTTAATTGGGTTTGGTGATGTAAGTATTAATTGTAGAGGTGTTAGATTTATAATTAAATTTATTTATTGTTTGAATTTATTACTATGTATACATCTATTTGCATGTGTATATAGGCATATGTATGTGTACACACAGACGCTCACACACAGGTACATGTACACTTAAGTCTGTGCATAAATAGTGACGTTACTTATTTTTTTTAAATATCATTTTTTTACATATACATATAGGTACCACCATGAAATTGCAAAAAAATCAGCATACCATGAGGAAAACATGCTCCAAATGTAATGAAAACATACTTTTATTGTCAAAGTCATTATGCTATTATTACGAGGAAGGATCAAAGTATTTTTTGATTATTTAATATTTATTAATCAAATAAATGTCAGATTTTAATGAAATATTCAGGACTTCTTCACAAATGAATGAAATTATTTTAGAAATGTTTTTTTATAAAACATCTTGGGAAAAATGTTTTTTTACATATTTCTCCCCCTTACTTAATTTTATGAAAACTTAAGAAATTCAATGTGATTTTTAATGACTATATTAGTTAAAAGTAGAATTCTTTGAAAAATTTAAATCACTGAATTTTTTTTTTTTTTTTTCAAATTTGGACCCCTGTCTTACTGAAAATCTGTCAAAAAAAAAAGAAAATAAGAAATGCAATAAAACTAAGACATTATTTAATTAGATAAGTTTTTATTTATTTTTATGAATAATATATATAAAAGACAGTATTGTCTGAAGAAAAAAAAATTCTTTGATGAAAAATGAATTTTTACAAGATTTTTCATTTTTTACAATTTTAAATTGAATAATTTTTAAAGATTTTTAAATCTTTTAAAATTCAGTTTCAATCCTATATTCTAAAGCTTATTACAATTTGACAACCCCAAATATTTTTAAAAGAATTTTTTTTTTTTTTTTGAATTTCTGAAGTATGGATGTACAAAATGATATATCAAAAGGGCACATTTTTTAAAGGGTTGCCTCCCCTTGTAAACTTTACCGTTTGCTCCACTGTACTTAACTATGGACATGTTCAGCTGTTAATTGGCTGTTAATAAATAGATTAACATGTCAAAAAAACAAGACTCCCTCCCCATCTCTCTCATATAAGGTGCGATGGATAAATTGTCGTCTAAATTACACAAAAATGAAAAATGATACTGACATCTCATTTAACACACAAATATCTAGTAAATTAGTAAATTTATTCAATAAAATCACCATTGGCTTCAACCACTGCCTCCAGATGACTTCAGAATCTCCTACAACTCTTCTGGATGGTCTCCTTAGGTTGGTGAATGGTACCATAATCCTTGCCTTCAGTTCATCTATGATGTTAGTTTTGTTGGCCTCTCACTCAACTGCATCCCACACAATAATCAAAGGTGTTACATTTTGTGGAGTTAGGTGGCCTGATATAAGGGGTGATGTGGTTGCAGAAATTGTCTGACAGCCAAGACTGGGTTCTCTTGCTTGTGTGGGATGGTACACTGTCCTGTTGACAGACATAGGATCTTCCAGAAGCCATCCTCTTGATCCAAGGAAGCACTACCTCCTCAAGGCACTTGATGTAGTTCTCAGTGTTTAGTTTGAGGCCCTGTGGGAAGATGAATGGAGGCATAACATCACCATTACTAATGATCATTCCAAACACCTTTGTAATCACCATTAGACTCCTCCAACTCTTTCCAAATCCTTTGCACTGTCCTCAGATTGACACCCAAACACTTTGAAATGTTCATATTGGAGCTTCCAGTGTGAATGCCAAGCAGTACAGCATGCCGTTTCCAAATTTCTGGTAGAGTGAATTGCATCATGGTGCTCTTTTTTTCACAGATGGTGCCCTACTATACTGTGCAGTTGATAAAATAAATAATAAAAAAAGCTCATGCATGAAATTATTGATACTGATTATTTGCTCTGATAGATTGCAGTAGTGATGCATCTATCCCTTTCATGCGCTGTTCGTATGGGTAAATTCCTTTGGATGGTACAGTTGACAGTGTTGTATCATCTTACGAGGTCACATTGTACCAATACACAACTTCCTGAAGGGAGCACTGTGTTCTGGCAGCAATTCTTTTTATGGTATACTGACATTGCTCTGCTATACCATTACTCTCTGGAACATAGGCACACTGGTATCGCACATGCACACCCCATTCATCTACAAAAGCCTGAAAAATGGTTGGGGCATTGTCCATCAATATCTCGACCAGTGAACCATCTTCACAGAATACTGCCTGTAGCTGCTTTACAAAATCAATGCATCTTGGCATGCCATGCATCCGACCACAATCTGAATGTTAAGAAATGTGTTCCATTGTAGTGTGTGATGTCCATGTCTGACCACCACCAATTGCTATCTAATTTAAGTCTCCTCTTTTGCCAATGAACTAGGATCTGCTTAGGTGCCAATTGGTGATCGGCAATGGGTCGTAAGATGATTGAACACTGTCAACTGTACCATCCAAAGGAATTTACCCATACGAACAGCGTAATCTATCAGGGGAATGGGTCAGTCCCTCATTTGATTATGTCAAACCACCTTTTTGCCACCCGAGTTAGCCTATCTGCTAGATTCTGCTCTGATGCAATCGAGGTGACATCAACAACCAAACTGTATTTGTCAATTAACTGTTTTAAGGTCGCCAACCTTCATCATATTAACATCTCACTCAAAGCTTTGGTTCTAACTCTGGATTTACCCATCAAGGTCTCGGTCAACCAGTGGTAAACACATACCAAGTCTGTAAATAGGTGCACCACCTTAAATTGTCACTGTAATGTGAGGTTAAGACCCCTTGATATGCTGAGCATCGTTTGTCGGATGAAGCCAGCATGCATCCTCCAGAATAGCACCATGTCTTTCCAGCACCATGCCTGTCACCAGGGAGCTTGTATCAACTCGAGCATTAATTTCTCTGGTTACGCACCAGTCATTTTGGGTGGGATCATCTTGGTGCACTTTGATGATTACTTTGGCCATCATCTGCTTGAAAAAGATGTCAATTACTGTGTCATCCCATCCTTTTTGTTACCGCAGTTGCTTACCTCTTCATTACTTCGTTTGCTGCACAATGCCATCCACAGACAGAAAAGATGTTACAGGGCATAATTACAGCAAGGAGCTCTGGAACCACACTCCTTCACTTCTGCCATAGTGTTCTGTTCCCTCCAGACTTCAAGACCCAATACTTAAGCCCAGTCTTTCAGGCACTTGGGGTCCTTACTTGTCAACCTGAACGATTTTAGTTTCTCCTTGACCTCACCTGCATACATTATGCTTTCATTGACATATATATCATCAATATAAGATGAGATAGCTCTCATTGTCACTTCCAAAACAGTTTTGATGATGGCTTTCATAATGAGAGGTGCCACATTGAGACCAAAGTCTATACGTGTCAAGCAGTACCTTTTTCTTTTACCATTTGAAATGGTCACAACGACTCATGGATATCCTCCATTGATCAAGCAAGGCCACATTAACACCTTGCTGGTGCCACTCCTGTAATTTGGCAGCACACATGTCTACATCTGCAGTGAAGGCATCCATCTGGTGGTTCAATTCTCAGTAATCCAAGACCAGGCACACCTTATCTTTGTTGGGATTAGGTCACTTGAGGGTCTGAGTTGTTCCTGGGAGTATGGTATCAACCATCCGTTAGCAATCCATATCTGCAACTCCTCTTCGCATACAGCCTTATCTTGCTATATACTGCATATTCTTGAACTGCATTCTGTAACTGCTGTGGTACTTTGTTCATGGCCCACTTGCACCTTGTAGTCGAGGCTTTCTCTTTGTGGTCAAAAGTGGCACAGAAGTCAGAAATAGCTATCAAAAATTAATGATGAATTATAAATTTATTTTAACTCCATCAGAACCACATAAACTTGCTTTTTAAATGATTTTATCTTCTTTTTTTTATTTTGTTTTTCAGATGCAAAAGTTGTGTGCCAGTTTGTCTAATACATTACAGTTTTTTTTTGTTTTTTTTTTCACTTCATCTGTGCTGACAGAAGCTACTGCCACTGATGTCTGTTGATTTAGGTTGGACTGAAATGGGCCTGTTGAGAATTTGGGAGTAATCTCATTGTATTAAAAGAGAAAAAGAAAAAAAACAAAAATTAATTTGTTTGCAAAAAAAAAGATACTTCCTTAAATTTTCTTATTTAATTTGTGTGCATGAGATAAGAAAGACAATAAGAAAGTGACTAATTGGAAGATGACAGACAAAGGAAAAAGGCAGAAAGAATGATAGATGCAGCAAGATAAAAGAAAGAAAAGAAGCAAGCATTTGCAGAAGAAAAAAAAAATCTATGGGTGCATAGATAGGTTAAAAATAACTTACCTATCTAAGAGATGTAAAAAGCGAGATTGAGAAAAAACATTACATAGATAAGGAGATAAAAGCAGACACACAAAGTGACTGCATGGAAGCCAGCATATTGTGGTAACTTTTGTGAGATAACTACTTTGCAAACAAATGCAAGACATTATGACTTTGTTGTTTCTCTTAAGTAAGCACTAATAGAAACAGCTGAAAACTCCAGAGATATTTGTCTTATAATTCATCAAGTTTAAAAAGAGGAAGAAAAAACAGAATCCAGAGAAAAGAAGAAAATCAAGATCCTTTAAAAAAAAAAAAACTTTGAAAAAGCTCTTTTTTATACCAAACCTCCCACACCTCCAGCATGTACACAGTCGACCAATCGCAGCTGAAACATCAGGACACTTTCAATGAAGAGGGCCAGCAAGATTCAGGTGTCAGCAACCCACCCCCCATCACAAGGACAATGCCGGGTGAGTTTGGCATGGTACGGTCCACGCCAAAACGCGATAAGCCTTACAAATGTGGCATCTGCCGAAAGGGTTTCACCCTTAAAGCCTACCTGAACCGTCACCAACTGGCTCCTGAAGCAGGGAAACATTTCCATTGTCCGTTTTGCTCGAAAGTTTTCCCCCAGCGCGATCGCCTTGACAACCACCAGCGCACCCACACTGGGGAGCGGCCTTTTGTGTGTGATATTTGCCACAAGGCCTTCTCTCAGAAATCCCATCTCAATACACACAAATATGTGCACAGTGGTATAAAGCCATACCACTGTGTCCTCTGTGACCGTGTCTTCTCGCAGAAAGACCACTTGACGAAGCACCAACGTACGCACACTGGCGAGAAACCTTTTCATTGCAACGTGTGTATGAAGGCCTTTGCACAGCGCACGCACCTCAAGAAGCATGAACTGATTCATTTGAATGGCGGAAAGCCTCGGGGTGGGGGCAACAGTGTAGCAGGAGGTGGGATGTGCACTGGTGGAGGAGGAGGTGGCAGTGGTGGTGGGTATTGTTGCCCACAGCAGCAGACACAACAGCAGCAGCAGCAGCAGCAACACCACCATCACCACCACCAGCAGACACAGCAGCAGCAGCAGCAGCAGCCGCCACAACACCATCACCACAACCAGTCGCACCATCACATGCAGAACACATCATCACCATCTTCGCACATGTCGCAATCTTCGCACATGTCACCTTGTGCTGCCTGTTCCCCGTGTGGCCCCTCATGTCAGTCACCACCACCCCCACTTCCACACAGTCGGCAAAACAACTACTGTTCCAGCCAGGGCAGAGGCAATTGCAGTTACAGCAACACAAACTCCTCCTCCTCGTCCTGCTCATCGCCGTCACCCTCTTGCTGCTCAATGCAGATGGGTCCTGATTCGGTGCCTGATTGCTGCGATCCCTCCTGGAAGCACGACATGCAGTACTCGTCAAATTGGAACTCGAATCAAAGCTGGTCGAACCAGGCCCCTTCATCATATGAGATGGGGCAGAGCAAATGTGAGAGCCAAGAAGCTGTGCACAATATTCAGACATTGATGCAATGAAGCTGCAGAAATAGCTGAATCACATCTCAAACAAAATCTTGCTGTGGTAATTTTTTTCTTTAATATGTCACAATATCAAAGCACCTTTTGTAAGACTTCTCATAACCAGCATCCCTTTTTCTAAGAAAAAAAAGAAAGATTTTCCAAGACTTTCTTTAGAATAGAAACCCTATTCTAAAGAAAGTCTTGGAAAATCTTTTTTTTTTCTTTTTTTTTCTCTCCTCACTTTTACTCTGTTGCAAACATAAAAGCATGTGTTGTAAATGGTGGATTGTAGCAAATGACTATTTGGTAATCATTTGTTACTAAGGATATGCCCACTTCCTTTTGCTATAATATGAGACCAATTGGGGGTTGGGGATTTAGTATCCTTTTTTTTTTTTTTTTTTTTCAGAAAACAATAACAAAATAAAAAGAAAATTGAATTTATAGAGAAGGAAAACTTTAGAAAATTTTTGGATAGTCACTTTCCAAATTATGCTACAAATTGTGCTTTCTGTAACAGTCATATTAAAAAAAACTAATTTGACTGGTTGGATTTTAAATTTATTTTTTTCTATTTACTAAGAAACTTTGATAAAAAGGTGTTTTGATTGTGTTTGGCATATTAAAAAATATTACCTTTGCAATTATTATCACTAGAAAAACAAATCATTTTAAGTATTTCTCATCTCTTCCATCGCCTATAAACAAAACCCATGACCGATAGTCTGATAAAAAATACATAGTAAAACCAGCCTTAATTTTTCTTACAGAAATGGAGATAGCTCTTTGATATTGTTATTTTCCCGGAGTGACCTGATCCTCAGTGCTTTAGGTTGTCTCTTTGCGACACACAACTAAACATTGCAGGTAATCTCTTGCTTGACAACCACTGCAAGACAATACGGCCAACTGCCTAACAATAGCATATTAGCTGGCCATTTTTTGCCTTTTTTTTTTTTCTTTATATTTTTTTTAACAAGGGAGACAATTCTTAACATTAAAGACTTGTTTCTCTATACAGCCAGGTCTTCAGTGCTCAACACTGCACAGTATTTGTTCTGAAACTGTTGGTGTTGAAAATCAGTATACTCTATTTATATATATATATATATATATATATATATATATATATATATATATATTAGTCAGATGGACAAATTTGCAAAAACAAATACTCTAGTATTAAAAGAAAATACACTTTTTAGCTCTTATACCTGCACAGATTATTATTTTCTTATTTTTTTTATCTTGGGAAAAAAAACGGAGATAATCTTTTATTGATCTTAAAAACCACTGATAGTACCTTTGAGACATCTTCATAATGTTGGCCTATATTTGCTGTCCGAATTTAAATATTTATCAGAAGGACGAGGTGTCATTGCTACTTGTCGTTTTATTTAGACTGACAGCCTCATCTTAATTGTATTTTGGTGTTGTAATGTATCTAGTTTTTACCTGGTCTAATTTGCAACTCAATAGTATTAACCACAAGCCACTAAATTTTTGGAGACTAAAATTGGCGATTTTCACTTTATTAACAAACAAGCAAAATTGGTCGAAAAAATTAAAAAAAAAAAAAAAAAAAAATTTAAAAAAAGCTCCAGGAAAGCCTACATTTTCTGAAGGCTTATGAACCACTTTTACAGGAACCACCTCAAAATTCTTGGAGATTTAATTTGGCCATTTTCAGTTTATTCATAAACCTTCAAAATTGGTAGAAAGAACTTCAACAAAGTGTATATTCTCTGGAATTTTATGATCCACTCTTCATGGACCATCTACTATACGTTAAATTTATGGAGAGTAAAATTGGTCTTTTGCCTAATAATAATTTCCCAAATTTGGTAGAAAGACACCAAGAAACTCTACTTATCATCTGTCCTTCCAGGAATCTAATCTCCTAAATTATGAAAATTAGGTCACCTGAACTCTTTGAATATTCAGAATTTGCAGCCATGTAACTGTAAACAAGAATCTCCAATTTCAGTGTGCATGGATGTGCATCTCCTTAGTTCAGAGGTTAACTTATTTACCAGAGTTAATATAGTTAACAGGAAAGTTTTGAAAAAAAAAAAAAAAAAATTCAGAGTGCAGGCTTGCACATCTAAAGTATGGGGCATAAACTGTTTTGTTTCACTAAAAAGAATAGTTGATTGATGTTCAAGAGAGACAAAATATTGTGCTGTTCAAATGAAATATTTTTACTTTATTTATTTAATTTCTTAAGCAGTGGATAAATATTGCTATAGCATGTATTTGCTTAGCCTAATCTGGCACAAGGTAACAATTAGATGCTTACCCAAAGAAGATCACAATCCCAAATACTATTGTAGTATCCATTTTAATTGTTTTCTTGTTTCTCACTTGCAAAATATTGGAAAATGTCTTTGTGATGGTTTCTGATGATGAGTGGAAATGTTATTTTTCCAAAATCATCCAAGGCATACATAAAAATAACAGAATTAGTCTGGGTTATCACAGCCACTGTTAATACCCCAAATGGTATTGAAAATGACTGATCGATTCATCTTAGAGCAGGCAAAACAGTATCAGGACTTTTAATATTTTTTTCTTTTCCCCAAAAATTAGTAAGGCCAGTAAGTAAGTTATAGGATTCTTGAACTGAATACATTTTTTTTTATCTGCCCCCACTCCCCAAAAAAGTCAAAATTATTCCAATTTGTGTTGGTTTGGACTCTTATCAACAACTATGAACTCAGCTGATTTTTTTTTCTTTAAAAATATATATATATATATATATATATATATATATTATAATTTTTTTTTTTTTTTTTATAATCTTTCTCAGACGAAACTGTTATTTGCCATATTTGTTTGAACGAAAAAGATATCTTTGACAAATCAAAATCAACTAAAAAACATAAAAAGTTTAGGGAAGTAAAAAAAACAAAAATTCTGAAATTACACACAACCTAACTGATGTATGTTAGTTGCCACTATAAGCTACAATGTACATGTACTTTTTTGTTAAAGAGTTGAATTTAATTGTTAAAGGGAAAATATCAAGTTAGGCTCTGATTTGGCTATGGAGTTATCTTTAAAATCAACCTATATATTCTGTTATACAGACTATTTTGTTAGCCTGGACAGATACCATATGCTTGTCATTGAATTTGATATTTATTTATTCTTGTGAGGTGGACAGAAGTTGTTCAAGAAAAACCTCATTAAATTCATTCTAAATACTTGGGGAGATTGTGGCTGGTTTACAATGAGGGCTGATTGTTATTCAATGATATATTTACACCTTGAAAAATGTAATTCTCAACTAATCCTAGAAACAAATGGTCTGATATCTCTCAAGAAGAAATTCATTAAAACAGTTTTAAAAGTCCTAAAACACAAGGGAATATTCTGACCAGTTGTCTTTTAAGCAATTGTGTTCATATAAATGTGGTTGTTATCAGCTTAAGCCTCAGAATGAGCAGTCAAGCATCTTGAGCAAGTCTTTCATACATTATAATTACTAGAGATATTTACACAGTTTGAGACCTGACCATGATATTCAATGAGGATCAAACTTGCTACATTAATAATGGTCTCTGAAACTAGCTCGTTAACTATATCTCTGTGGCATGCACCATAGACATTAACTAGTCATAGCTTATGCTGACAATGGGCCGCAAAGGATTGCACTCATTAACAAGGGTCAGTAAGACTAGTTTGTTAAAAATCACTCTATGGCAGGCCTCATAAATATTTAAGCTTCTGGTACGAGTTGATAATAGCAGCCAGTAGGGATTAAACTTGCTATATTAGCAGTGGCTTATAAAACTAAACTGCTAATTATTGCTCTATGGTAGGTTTCACCAGATAAGATTAAGCTTCATCTGATTTAGAGCCGTGATAGGCTACCAGCAAGGATTAAATTCTCTATACTCTAAATACTTTTATTAAGTTTGGCTCAGGGCCACAACACCAGAAAGGAGAGATGCCTCAGTTCCTTTCATCTTTGCTGGGACGTATTCAGAGTATCAACTGGTGCAAACAGGTCACCAATGCTGTAGTTCTCACCCATGCCCTGTTAGCCAGCCTATATGCCCTTCTCTAACAGTGCCAACTCTGCTGGTTTGGACATGTATGCCAGCTGGGAGGATTCTGAAGATCCTTCTATATGGGGAACTGGCAAGGGAGCATGAGTGTGACCTCATCTTTGATCTAAGAACATTTGCAAAAGGGATGTAAGGTGTTGGACATGGACAATGAGGGAAGATGTCACCAAAAATTGCTCACACTAAAGATGCAATTTACACCAAGGGCTGGGTCGAGGAAAGGAGAAATAAAGACTTGCTGCCAGGAAGAAACATGTTCAACAGAAAGAAAACAACAAGGTGACATTGAGGGAAAGTCTTTACATATGTTCATTGCAATTGAGACTGTCACTCCTGTGTGGGTCTGTACATCCATAACATGCTGCATTGCCATCAGTAGCTGGGACATACCTTGGGTCTGCACCCAAAGAGTTATCTTGAGACTGACAGATGTCACACACAGAGCCACAACTGTTTAGGTTAAAACACTTCATGGCAGATACCCTCAGATATTGATTTAAATAAATCTGATACAAGGGGGTAAAACATGCTATATTAAGGGCCTGAAAGGTTATATTTCTAATTGGTGCTCTATAGCAAGTACTCCAGATACAATTATATAGCTTGCTGGGTCATGGTAGTGAAACATCCAGCAAGGATTTAACTCCCTATTAGTCTGTAAGACTAACTTCTAAACCAATGTTCAACAACAAATACCTACTCGCCAATCTTGTTTCCTGCATTTATAAAACTTGCATTATTCAAAGATGTTTTTTTACACCTTGAGATAATCTTGGAAGTAAATTCTGATATTGTCTGACCCAGGAAGTTGAGTGTACCAAGGTGCTGACGTGGTTGACTGATGTAAGAATTAACTGTCTCTTCTTTAATAGAGTCTACAGAAATCTTCCTAGGATGTAGGTATCTGAAACATTTGATGGAATTAAATATTTTCTCTTGTAC